CCCCAAAACCCCAAAACCCCTACAGTCAGTAATGTTTATCAGGATATAGATTGACAAAATAAAATTGATCAAAAATTACAAAATGAAATATTATATATTTTATTTTAATTGATTAGAATGGATAGGTTAAATCCTCCTAAGAATTTCAAGAACTACATCTTTGACTCGGTAATAGGTAGTGGCACCTTTGGTATAGTTTGCAAATACATTAAAAATGGATCGCCATATGCTATTAAAATGGAGTGACCAGGAAGTTTGGGTAATTCTTTATTAGCTGAAAAGTTTGCTTATAATAAGATAAAAGAAAAAAATATAGGTAATTAGCTCAAAGTTCCTAAGCTTATTGATCATGGATCTGTTCAGACTGAGGATAAAGCTCATTCGATTTAATACCTTATATATGAATATCTAGGATAATCACTTTATGAATACTTTGAATAGCTTTTAAACTCAACAAATGCTATCTAAGGAAAGGCAAGGATGACAGAATAGCTGATTTAAACAATGAGCTAATTGCATTAATTGGGTTTCATTCATAGAGACGTTAAGCCAGATAATTTTATGGTATAAGACAATGAGGTATATCTGATTGATTTTGGTTGTGTTACTGAATTTAATCTTGAGAATTTTGAGAAAGAAAAGACATGGTATCCAGTTGGAACTCCTTTAACTCAATCAAAATTTGTTATGAATGGATTTTATTCTTGCTAAGGAGATGACTTGATCTCAACCTTGTACTCTATATTATTTCTTTAAGATCCAGATAGCTTGTCCTGGGTTAATGATTGCATTAATGCAAAATAGCTTAATATTGCATCTCTTAATAAAATTAGAGATTAAAAAGAAAAATTGACTGCCAATTAAAAATATTGTGATGAGAGCTCAAAAGTAATTATAAATCAAATAAAATTATTGGAATCTCTAAGAGTGGAAGACCCTGATAAATTCACAAAAGATATAAATTATAATGCTATTATAGAAGCAGTTAAATTGTCTTATAAAATTGAACAAGATGCTTTTGACTACAATTCAAGATAAAGTTCTCTTTCGATAAGGTCTCTTGATAATTTAAGTTTGAGATTGAAACAAAATTGAGATTTGGAAGAAGAAATTAAATAAATCCATGCCCTAGAGAATGAAAAAGACTAGAAGGAACTAAAAAATTAAAATGAATCTGATGATAAACAATATTAACATGAGTCAAATGAAATTCATAATTCTGATCAAATATCATAAGAATAGAGACCTGAAGATATAAGTATTTAGCTAAATTCTTAAGATGAATCAAATATAGAGTAAAGGTAATATTAGGTGAATTAAGTTGGCTAGTAATTAGATTAAATTGAAAAATGAAATGACAGAGTCAAGAAAGATTAGAAGTATTAAATAGACTAGAGTTAAGAGGATTAAAATAAAAAAATTAAGAATGACTCTTTTGAGAATATTCCATATGAAGATGCTCTTGTGAAATTTTATGTGGCAAAAAAAGATGAATAGATACATAGTTAAAATTACTAAAATGATTTAGGTTCTCAAGCAAATAAGAAAAAAAGTTAGAAAAGGTAATCTAAATAGAAAAAAGTTGTTGAATGTGGTTTATTAAAAAAATGTTGCATCGGTTGCATCATTATATGATTTTGTCAATTACTTTTTTATTATGATTTCTAATCATTACTTATATTAAATTCATTAATCTAATAGATGCAATATTAGCCATTTGGGGTTTTGGGGTTTTGGGGTTTTGGGGTTTTGGGG